CCAGCCACCCCTGTCGTCCCTCTCTTTCCACAGCCACGTGGCTGAGCGAAACCAGAGCCCCTTCCTACCTGCCCGATGGGGCGGCTGTCCCTTGGGCATTGGCGGGCCAGGCCGTGCGGGGTCACTGTGGGTTGCTCTGGCTGCTGGGTGCATCACGGGCTGCCCTGAGAAGAGACCCGAGTGCCAGGCAACATCTCCCTAAGATGTCATTTTCTGAAAAGCCATAATTCCCCCACCCCCCCCGGGTGCATGGCCTCCTGGGGAAGCATTGTGCATTGGCGCTTTAAATCTCACATTCTCGTGGCTCTCCTGGGGGTGGAAATAGCGCCTGGAAAATAAAACCTATACGAAACCCTTCTTCCCCGTGGCTGTGGGCCTCCACGCATGCAATCCTTGTGTGGCAGGAACCGGTGACCTTTGAGGACGTTGCTGTCTATCTGAGCCGTGCAGAGTGGGACGCCATTGCAACAGGGCAGAGGGATCTGTACCGCACCGTCATGCTGGACAACTACAAGCTCTTGACATCCCTGGGTAACCTGCGGTTTTAACTCCGGGGCTCAGACGTCATCCGGGAGGGGGGCACGGCTGGGGTGGGGGGGCTTCTGTCATATTTGACTCCATCAGAACCATGCTGCTTCCAGTGCTTTGTGGGGCTGATCAGTGTGTTTTGAACTATGGCTACAGGGTTGGGATAACTGCTCCAAGCACCTGCAGTCCTGGGGGAGTTTAGTGTTGGAAAAACACAGTATTTGGGTCTCTTTGAGCTGGTGACTGCCTCTGAAAATGTAACTGCAGGCGAGCTGCCCGCCCTGAGGTCAGGCGGGGACCTGGCAGGGGGTCATGGCCATGGGCCAATGACTCTGTCCCCTCCCCTGGGTGCTCAAGCTGCAGCGGGGCAGGAGTAGCACATACTAGGCAAGGCGCAGGGGAACGCACCCATCAGAGGACAGTAGAGTTCCCTGAATGAGTAAGGTCCCTTCAGAGGACTTGCCTGCTGCCACCAAGACAGGATGGACATCTCTGTTTACCTGCATAAAGGGTCTGAGCTGGGCACCTAGGAGGACATCCCATGCCCTGGAGCTGCTTCTAGGATGAGCAGCAGATAATCCCTTGCTGGGAAAGCCTGTCAGCGGGGCTGGGAGTTGGTTCCCATACTCCCATCAGGGCTCTGCCCTTGTCTTTGTGAATAAATTAATCTCTGGCAGCAGCTCCAATGTCTCTCTTGCTTTTTTCCATGTTTCGGTGTTGTTTCTGCTTGGGCTTTTCTGGTCACGGTGAAGTGCAGCCTGGGGTGTCACAGAGAAGACCTTTATTTTCTCCTGTTAACAATGTATTCCACAGTTTGTACTAGAACAACATGCTCTGCTCCACCCCCCAGGCTACCCAGGCCCCAAACCTGACGTTTTATACCGGATAGAGCATGGGGAAGAGCCATGGGTCTGCACACCACAGAGCCCAGTGAGGTGGGATGGACCCGACAGCCCCTCTCCAGGTGAGCAGGAACAACCCAACCCCCATAGGACCACTTACCTTGACAGGGAGCGGTGGCATGTTCCAAAGGCCGCCCCAAACTCTTCTCTGTAGCTGTGACCAGCGTGTCTCTGGGGTTCCCACTTGTCCTCCTGTCCAAATCCCTCCCCTCCTCACTGCCTGTTTTGAGGCGTCTCCCCCATTTCCCTCTCGCCCTGCAGCCCTCCCCGCACAGGGCAGCAGCAACGTCAAAGGGAAACAGGCTGCCTGCCTCCCCGTGCAAAGGCTGCAGCTCCGCAGAGACGTTGCTGATCTGCTGCTGCTTGTACCCCTCAACCCGCCGAGAATCCTTCCCTCTTTCAGTCACCCATGAGCAGGGTTGTGGCTTTCTGGCTGCTGGCGGTGGACCGGGCTTCCTCCTCTGGCCCTGTGGCTGTGGAGCAGAAGGGCTTCTTCTGCCGGGAAGGTGACATCTGTCTGGTTTCCCTGCAGGACACGATGGGGACGTGAGCTGGCTGGAGGAGCCTCCCTCAGGCTGGTGGCCTGGTGCTGGTGGACGCCATGCGCTGGAGGAGAGGATGCAGACCCCCTGCTGTGGTGAGTCCTGGTGCCCCCGCTTCCTCACCACCAGGCTCTGGAGCAAAGAGCCTGAGGTGGGCTCCAGCCCCATCCCTGTCCCCAGCTGCCTGTGCTGCACCTGGTCATCACTGCTAGGGCTCCTCCCACCCCTGTGCAGGCAGCATCCCTGGGCAGGGCTTGACTCTCCTGCCTACCCAGGCAGAGGTCAAGGATGTGGAGCCCAGGCAGCCCCTGAACTGGGAAGAATGGATTTTTCTCACTGGCTGTCAGCATCTCCCCCGTTCCTTCATCATGGTCCCTCTCTCCCTGTCGCCATCACAATGTCCCAGCCAGGAAGAAGGCAAACTCTTCCCAACCCTCTCTCAGCAGGAGGACGGTGTGTGCAGTGGCGTCTCCGGTGTAGAAGACTGCTGAACAAGTTCAAGTGTCTCGGGGATAGGAGCGAGCTGCCGGCAGAGGCAGCCAGCAGAGGAGTGGAGGCAGTGGAAAGTGGAGACCAGGCACAGATGGTTTTCTTGCCTGGGAAAGAGGGAGAAGTAGAGGATAAACAAGGGGTCAAGGCAAATGTGACACAAAGCAGAGGATCCCCACTTCGTCCGGTGATGGAACAGCAAAACAAAAAGGCAGATCCTCAGAAGCGCCTGCGTCGTAGCCGTAGGAAGAGGTTTCAAAGGAATGCCCAGAAGAGTCGATGCGCTTTGAGAGAAGTGACATTTCTCCGGAGAAAGAGGAAACTGTCTGTCGAGGATTTGAATGAGACTATTTTGAAAGACCACTGTTACTGTGTGGTGAGTGAGACACAGCTCTTGTGTTGCACCCCACATCCATCTCCTCTGAGAGAACACGACTACTGCAGGAACCGCCAGGCTGGTGTCTTGGCACTTAAGGACCATGAATACTGTCACATGCAAAGGATTTGTTATCGGGGCAGAGTTAATAAAATTGTTCATCTTACTGGTAAGGCTCGGGCCGTGCTTCACAAGCTGGCAAAGCGAAAATCCCAAATAGGGCGAATCATCAGGAAAGCCAAGCGAATTATGTGGCCTTCCAAGCCTTGCGCCAACAAGACGTTAGAATTTCCCCAGGGTTCTTCTAGTGCCAGCTGTCTTTCTGAACCCGCTGTCCCTCCTGCTAAGGCAGAAGACGACCCCACGAAGGGGATGTGTGGGGCATTTTGTCCTCCTGCAAAACAGGAGATTGTGCTGTCGCAAGGGGGCACATCAGAACCACTTCATGCCCCTGTGGTGTCTTTTGAACCCATGGCTGCACCCCCACCCTCAAATGCTGCTGCGGAGGTGAAGAGGGAAGCGACACACCCCAAGGTGTACGTACACTGCGAGACACAGAGGACACAGCTGATCCAGAGCCCTGATGCTAAGGAAAATGTTGGAGGACATGAACTTGTTAATTCAAATTACATATCACTGCATGACGCATATAAAATGGTGATGCGGACTGTCAACCACATGTTGGACTCCGTATGCCATAACTTTGAGCTCGGTGGCTACTCTCAGTGTAAGGATATCTGGCCCATCATCATTCAGATAGACAGCTGATCGTCAGCAGAAGGTCAGCAGCAACTCGTGGGTGTTCGAGGTGAACAGTTGGGACCTTCTTCCCTCCAGCAAAACCCACTGAAGTGATTTAAGAGAAGAAATGCTGTGAAAGGTGTACGGAGCGGATTAGTGGGTATAAAACTCAGTATGGGGCACCTGCTGGGGAAACTGGGATTCTCTGGAAGGCTTCAGGGAAAAGGCTAAGGGAAAGGGGAAGGATCAGTGTGGATAAAAGGAGGAAGCATGGGAAAACGGGGCAAAAGGGGAAGGATGGGCAGCTGCGTGTGAGCAGGCAGCTGGTCAGTAGGTTTTCTGGCTGGGTGGTGCCTGGTCACTGCGGTCTTCCCCATCTTCTCATTAAACTATATTAAATTACTGTCCATGTTGTCACACTTTCAGGTCTGTCCATCTGCATGCGGGCTGCGCTCGCAAACAAAGGAGCAGCCGCTCACTGGGCCCAGGCAGGGAGGAATCCCCCGGGGTTGTTGGGGCACTGAACTTGGCTGCTGTTAGTGCTTTGCTCTGCCGGATGCAGGCAGTGTGCCCGGCTTTCCCCACTATTAATTTAAGCAAAGAATATGAAGAGAAATTTTTAGGGTACAATATTAAAGGGGGACTTTGGTTTTTGATGAGACTTTCCAGCTATCACTTATAGAAGCAGGCAGGGATGTACTGTGCAGAACCCTGCAGCATTCTCTTTCTAAAATTACTGAAAAAAAGCACTGTTCAGCAGATGTCTGTACGGGGGATGCTGTTACGGCTGCTAGCAGAAGATTGGTCCCTGACCAGGAGGTGAAGCTCCCTGAATTCAACCACAGGAGATGCCAGGAGGAATTGGTGGATGTGAAGGACACTGGCGAGGGAAGCGGCAGCATGTGCAGGCAGTGCCGGCTGGGCTTCGCTGGTAGTCAGGGGGGAGCTGAACCCCCAGGGGAGGGAAGTGAAGTCTGGGACCTTCTGGAGAGAAGAGTCTTGCAAGAGCAACAGTGCCCATGGAACCACAACACTCATTCCAGGCAAGGCTGAGATTACTCTGGTAATATCAGAAAGGCCAAAT